CCACACCCCCCTACCCTCCCTCACATCCACACCTTGCCCACCCAAGCTCCGTGTTGCCACCGTTCCCACACGCAAGGCTCTGCGCTGCCACCAGCCTCAGCTCCCACTCAGCTGCAGCTCCACCCCCACCACTTCCCTACCTGCTACCTGGAGCTGGCAGGACCCAGGGGAGCAGGTCCCTGGTGGCTATAGCAGTGGCAGCAGCAGCCCCACCCAGAAGTTGAGTACTGGCCAGGCCAAGCTCTTCTACTCACGAGAGTGGGAGCGAGACGCAATAGGGCGTGTTGGGGGCAGTGTATACGTGGTTGCCTCACTCCCATCCTCGTAGGCAGAAGGGCTGGGCAGGGCATAATTCACTGGAGGGTGCTGCAGCCAGATGAAAGTGCCTGGCGGGCCAGATGCACTCCATGGCCCATAATTTGCCTGCCCCTGGTCTAGCAGCTATTACTTCCATTCAAGTGTTTGACATTGTTCCGATGCAAACCAAACCAAAGAAATAGTTATTAATTCAGAGAACTGCTAGGTTAGGCAGACTTAGCATTCTCTCACTGAGCTACTGAAGTGCAGACTTCACTTCTGCAACCAACTTGTGTACTTCCAAAATACAGTCAGACATAAATCATATCCCCTTTGTAACGCACAAATGTACTGCCTTAAGTCCAACCACAGTCATTCCCTGTAGATGTATATCCTTATACAAAAAATGCACTAGGCTGTACTAGAAAATGTATATGAAGGGAATCTAGGTCACATGTATGTCATTTAGGGTAGGAGTACTTAATTCCCAAGCCCACAAGCCAAGTCTGGCCCCCAGGGCTCCCCAAATGTCTTAAAAATTGGCAGAGGGGAAGTGGTATCATTGCTCCCCTGCTGCCAAATTTCTGGACCCACAGAGAGCTCCACAGGCCAGACAGTGTGGCCCTGTGTGGTAGATCAGGTATGCAGTGTGGCATAGGGCCTGATCTGGCCTGTGGATCGACCCTGCACCACTGATCTAGCCCAAGGGACCAGAAAGATTGAACTCTACTGATTTAGGGGAAGCTGTTATGGGCACATTTCCACTTCTTTCCATCCCTGTGATATCTTTTTTCATCCTTCACCCACAATCCTAGTACAGTACTTGGGTATTCATGTTCTGTTGCCTGGTTGAGTGGAACATGATTCCTCAGAACTGACCATCTCCATCATTGCTGCCTGCTCAGCAGTCAGACATTCCAAGAAGGCCCTTTATCAAAAAAATGCCATTCCTGACACTAACCAACCAAATTAAAATTTGGTGGTCCATAGACTGTGCATGGATCTAAACTCCAAATCTACCAAACTGCATTGTTAAGGAGAGATTTTAGTCCTGCTTTAACTGAAATTTTAAAATGTAGAATTTACTGGAGGCATGCTCCAATTGTTAACTTACTGGAAACCTTTTGTCTGCAAGCATGCAATGAGCACCAACTGAATGGCTATCCACAACCATCTGTAAATATTTTAAAAAGTATATTTAATTTGAAAGATGAGAACTTCCTCCTCCCATTCCCAGGGAGTTGCTATAAATTAAAAAGAAATATGTTATTCGTCAAAGGTAACTTTGTTGGTCTAATCAAGCTAAATCTTTATGACAGTTCTGAAATGCAGCATTTAACTTTTATATGTATTGTAAAGAAATAATGCATTCCATTTATAAGTTTTTGTATCCAAACTACATTTACAATACATGGGTTTACTACAAATAGATCAAAATTCATTTTCCAGATTGCAGGTTAAAATATTTCCTGGCTTTACAAGAGAAAATAAATACAATAGAACTACTATCTGTTTTGATTTGATAGTCTCTTTGTTGTAAGATGCGATTGTACAACTGTTTTCAACATGTGCCAAAGGTGCCTAGAGCTCTGGACAGGCACTCTGTAATAGGAACCGTGTCTAAAATGATATGGAAATGTATATGCAAGTAGGGTCTGTACATCAATTTCTCTCTGAAAGATGTGCCTTGCATTCCTAACTGCTATTTAAGAAACAGTATCAAATGCTTTGTAAATTGCACCGAGAAAGAGACATCCCATTTAGTATGACAATACAATAAACCTTCCATCCTCCACATAAGCTTCTCGGAAGCTTAAAATATCTCTACTTGATTCTATACATTACTAGCCATAGTCTCCTGAAGGATAGTTATTCTCTGACATTTATTTAAAAAAGTGCTCTATTCTACAACAAAAATCTTTTAATATGTTATTCCAAACATTACTAATGTCCACTAGCTGTTTTACAAGAAGCAATTCACAATATTAAACAAGCTCAACATGGATAGCTCTTAATTTATCAAAAGGGTAATCCAAGTTATTATGAACCAACTCCAATATTGTTTATTTCACCATCTAAACTGAAAATTTAAAATTCCTCAGCACTTAATATCTGAAAAACTATCAGGGTATACATAAAATTAAAAAATAACATAACTACAATACATGTTTAAGCAATTTTAATCCAAACTTTTATCAGCAATACCAAAACACACTGTACAATACTCTATTATCCTTACAACTTGAATTGTGTGTAAGTTCATAAATGCAAACTGTATGCTAAACAACGTATTTACAAAGCACAAAGGTTGTGCCATGACCAGTATAAACAAACACAAGTGAATGAGAAAGATGAGGTGACGTGCTACCAGGCTCCTTACCCATTGTTGTTGTTGCTGGAGCTCCCTGATGGTATTCTCAGCTTGCTCCAGTTTAGTAATGGCCTCATCACTCTGCTGTTTGATGGTGGCCAGCTCCCGTTTTATGAGGTAGTTTTCCTCAGCCTCCTGGGCCCTTGTCACTTGTCCCTTCGGACATAATTTTCTTTTTAAAGCAGTTGAGGACAGATCCAAGAAAGACTGCCTTTGTGATGTCTAGCCATACTTTGCCATAGGGTTATGTCTTTAAAACAGCACTTAAAGTGTAGCAGTTTAGTACCGCTCTAGTTACTTACTAAATTAGGGTTTAACATCTTTTAGCAAGTTCAATTATTTACTTGCATTCAATAAATTCAGTTCATGCAGTATTATTCAGTTGTACATGCATGGATTTGTTAAGAGTTTGCACTATTCAGTTTAAGGGTGAGTGTTAATACAACGCCACAGAATTCACCTATTACAACATACTAAAATTTCAGTTATGTTAGAAAAATATAACGTGCAGATATCAGATGTGTCTGTTTTAGTAACCAAAAATAAACAAATTCTAATAAAGAATTAGCTAAATATTTCGTGTCCAAATTAACAAAGTGGGGATATATTTCAAATAAATGCATGTAAATATGCATGCATTAAAACAGGATTTTCTGTTTTGAGGGTGGATGGAAAGTTACACAGTAAAACACTAAAGGACTATACCTGTATCAATCTATCTGCCAAGGAAGCACTTTCCTACAAAAGGAAAAATTCAGATAGGAATAAGGGGAAGAAAAACAAAAACAAAAGGAGTGATAAAAGTGAAAACAACAAGAGCAGAGAGAAAAAAAAAGAATGCCCAAATTCTACCCACTTTAAAACAAAAAGTAACCTTGGATGCCTTCTCATATAAGTTGCTGCAAATAAATTTTGAAAGTTGCAGAATGTAACTTTTTGTAGTATCAGTCTATACTACTGCATTTACCAATCAATGAAGAGGTCCCCGAAGGTGGATTTAAGAGAACAGATATCATAATATAAAACATCGTTTCCTGCTGTAATTTACAGAAGATAATAATCACTAACTGAAATATTCTGAAGTTACCAGTTGGATGTAAAATATTTGACCCAGGGTCCATAATGGAAGAGGAAGGCATAATTTGAGCGGAGAGAAAGCAAGGAGGTTAAATTGTACAAAATGTCAGGAATGAAAAATAGTTGAAGCATGTTACAGCAGAATTTACTAATATTTTGCTTTGAGTAACTGATAGAATTCATTAATTTACTAATTTATAACTTGACTTCCCTTGCATAAGTTCTACAACAGAAAACTTCTCAGAAATATCTAGGAACTCTGATAAACTGAAATGCTTTAGATGACCTGTTTATTTGAAGATCACACTGAAGATTCCATCTAAGTAATTTTAAATTAAAAAAAACAACAACAACAAAAAACTTTGCAGAAAAGTTTTTCTGATGCTCTGCAGAGGATGCATTCCCGTGCTAATTGGACAAAATATACAAGTCCACTATCAAAGTGTAAACTGATTGAGATTTAAAAAGAACTATAGTTTAACAGGGATAAAAATGTCACTTGGACAAGAAATAATGATCAAATGTTCCTCATTAGGATGTACACATAAAAAACAATTAAGTTATATATACACTAGATATACTAGAGTTTTGAGAATAAAAAGCATCTATTTACCTTAACTAGTGACTTCTATTGGTATGTAACATGTTACTTTTCCACAAGTATTCCCCATTAAGAAGGAATTTCTCTTCAATTAAAAGGATATTTAAAGATGGAAGATGCTATGCCAACTACTTAAAACTGGAGCTGAGACTTAACCCCTGAAGACACAACTCTTCAATTTTTGCTGACACACAATTAAATGCTCTCATGACCAGTACATCACTGACAGCTTGCAAAACCCCAGGAAATTACTACTGCTCAAAGACTAGTATGTGCTCTACACATCCATTTTATTAAAATTTGTAGAAACATAAATATTTTAAACACAGGCATTTTGCAGTTTTGAACATATTACTGGATCACAGACTCATATGTGACACTAGAGGTATGACTGGATATGAAAGGAGAGGCTCTCTGAAAGCAATGCCTACCTTTTGACAATAAAATCAACAATGGACCACGTTTGACTACTGCACTACAGAAGAGAATTAATTATCCAAACCACTGACTCTTCGAAATGAAAGACGTATAGCTAACCTATGTGTTGAGTGCTACAAGTGAGAGCAATGCCAATCTAAAAAAGGATCGGTTTTAACAACTGAGGGGAAAACACTGAAATAAATCAAACTGAAAAGGTTATATACACATTGTATATACTATATAAATATGAAAGTAGCATTTAAGTATTTCATTAACTAACCAGTTGATTTTAAAACTGGTTTTAGTCCTAGTTAGTCTGAATAAATGATACTCCACTGTACCTTCATAGTTTCTACGGTCGGAAGGGGCCTGAGCAGATCATCTAGTCTGACCCCCTGCCATGGCAGGAGAGAATGCTGCAGTCAAACAATCCCGGCAAGGTGTACATCTAGCCTCCTTTTAAAGACCCCTAGGGTAGAAGTGAGCACCACTTCCCTTGGAAGTTGGTTCCAGATCCTAGCCGCCCTGACAGTGAAGTAGCGCCTCCTGATATCTAGCCTGAATCTACTCTCAGTCAACTTATGGCCATTATTCCTCGTTACTCCCAGTAGCGCTCGGGGGAACAGGGACTCTCCCACTGCCTGCTGGTCTCCCTTGGCCAGTTTATAGATGGCCACCAGATCCCCTCTCAGCCTTCTCTTGTGGAGGCTGAACAGGTTCAGGTCTCGTAGCCTCTCCTCATAGGGCCCTGCACTGCTGCCCCCTGATCATGCGAGTGGCCCTCCTCTGGACCCTCTCCATGTTGTCCACATCCCTCCTGAAGTGCGGCACCCAGAACTGGACACAGTACTCCAACTGTGGCCTGACCAATGTCATATACAGAGGGAGGATCGCTTCCTTGGACCTGCTCATGATGCATCTGTGGATGCATGACAAGGTGTGGTTAGCCCTCCTGACTGCATCCCCATATTGGCAGCCCATGTTCATCTTGGAGTCTATAACGACTCCAAGATCCTTTTCTACCTCTGTGCTGATGAGAAGGGAGTTCCCCAGCCTGTGGGTATGCTGCTGCTTCTTTCTCCCTAGGTGCAAAATAAACAAAAAACCCCTTCAAAATAAACAAAAAAAACACCTTACAGAATCAAAAAAATTGTAGGAAAGACCAAGGAACTAAAAAGTCTGTCTATAATGTTCATATCTTTTTGAAAGTATTCCTTTCTTTTTCATAGCTCTGGCTCAATTTTCTAGTGCAGTACATAGTTATGCAAGAAACCAGACTATAGGGATCAGGTTTTCTGGTCTGAATTTGAGTACTCCCACAGGATTTCTACTTCCTAAAGCTTCATATAGCAGTAAATCTGCACTGTTTAATTCATATTGAGCACTGGCTGGCTCTTTATTCAAGCCAATGGGCGTCTGGTACCTTAGGCCTTCCAAAAGTGGAAGATTCTCAAAAGGAATTCATCCATAACACCAGAACTCTCAACACTGTATATATATTCTAAATATTTTTGTTCTTCTTATAAATCCTTCTGATACAGTGATTATTGCAAAAAGATAAAATTTGGATACATTTTAAAATAATATGCAATCCTGTATATTTAGAAATATCCAGAAATTTCAATTTTAAAACGTAATGTTCATGAAAACAGTCTGAGCAGTTTCCATACTGGTATTTTATTATCACCAGGCTATTTGGCTAAATACTGTTAGAAAATACTGCCAATTGGTACATAAAATTCTAGCAAAAGTTTCCATTTATAAGATAGTTCCATATCTTGTATTTAGGTTGTGGTGATTATGAAATAGGTCAAATCTAGTCACTTATACTCACTTTTTCTAACGTTTCAATGCGCTGTTTTAAGAGTCTATTTTCTGTTCGTAACCTCTGCAAAAGAAGCAAAACTATATTAATGTGTGTGTATGGAAAGATACAAACAAAGAGTTGAGATAAATAGTATTATCAATTTCTTTAAAATCGCATTATCAAAGTATTATGAAAATGTATACTAGTAGGTAACTCAGAATCAGGAAGAATGGAGTGGTCCAGCTGCACACCTCTCCCTCCCACCCCCACATTGATTTCTCTCCAGGCAAAAACTTTAAAACCAACAGCCTGTGAGGGGCATCCACGCTTCTATTCAGACAGTGCTGAGAAAGTCATCTCCCTAATTCCTCACAGATGTTAATGAACCCCTATCCTTTGTAATGATCTTGATATTGCACTCTTCAAATGATCCTTTATGTGCAATGTTGCTGTCTTTTAACCATTCCTGGTTATTTCTCCCTTCTGTTTCACAGCCCTGCAGACTGTTTTTAGCTCTAGCTAAAAACCTTAACTCAGCTGTGGTAATATTAACTCAGGTGTAGAAATGACCAACAGTGAAGTATTGAAAGCACTGTCAAGATACTCAAGAAAGCTAGATTTTGTTTTAGGAATCTAAATAAGGGGTGTATAGTTAACTATGATGACAACAAGACTAATAATACTTTTTGGCTGTTTTGATTATTTTTTGCCTTGTGTCTTGTGATTTTTTAACTTTATATACATCTAGCAAATCAGTGTCTATTCCAATAGTTATATTTCCATAGTATTAGCACCCTAACATACTAGTAAGATATTTAGTTTCCCTTTAAATGGAGAAAAAACCATGTGTTGTGTCATATGTGATGATGTGCCACATCATCTGTGCCCCCCTTTTCAAAATCCTAGATCCACCCATGCTTAAATAAAGCAGCTGAACTAAGGGTAACAAAGAGAATCAATTAGCATGCCAAATGGGTAGCATGTGCTACAGTAAAACATCACAGTATACACTACAAAACATTCTGAAGAAGAGACTGTTCAAGACTATAGTAAGAAACACTAACTTTGCAAGTAAGATTAAACAAAGTAATGCAATTATAAAAACGTTACCCTGAGAAGTATTTGCCCTACTCATCCCAAGAGTAAGGTAACTGGAGAACTGAAAGGCATAAACAGACCAACACAAAAACACTGATGCAAGTTATAATCCTCAGCATTTAAACCAACAAGGACAGATACTGGTATTGGTCCATGAACTTTTTATTCAGCAAGGCTGAGAGAGGTACAGCTGATATATTTACATTTTTCTGCTTAATGGAGATTAAACTTGTAGCAGCAGAACAGCAAATCAGGAATAGTGAAAGAAGAAGAAAAAGCTTATGGGCCCACAGCTTTAAAGGCCCTTCTTCAAACTGGAGAATGGCAAAATATCTGGGGAGTGCTCAGCTCTCCTCTTGGAAAAAACTTATCCTTGAAAACTTGATCCCTAGGATTAAAGTAACTGGGTGCATCTACTCAAGATGCTACTATGCAGTGGTTACTGCTCATTATTTAGTACTTGTGTAATCAGGGACTAAATAAATGTGCAGTAACCAGAATTACTGAACATTAGCACTGGTGAATACTTTTTTAAGTGACACTGCTGCACAGTAGCCTAATAATACTGCATAGCAAATGAAGGTAAATCTCTAGGAATGCACATTCTAGTCCCAACTTCACCATACTCAAACCACTTCTTCTGACCTTATCTTCTTCCATACCCTATCTGTAAAATGACACAATACTCTTCTTCACAGGTAAATCACAATTACCTTTTGTAATATTTTACACATATATTTAAGTACATAACAGATTAACCCCATCTCAGCCAGACGGGCTCTAGCTCTTTCCTCCCCCATCCACATACTCTCTTGTTAGAAATTTCATAGAAGAAGGCTGTCCTAAATAAAGAAGTAACACAAATCCAGATGACACTCCTGAAAAATGTTGGGGGCTCTATATTTGTACAGCAGTGAAACAATGATTTCAGGTATAAGTACACAAAATAATTTGCTAAGAGACAGGGCGGATAAAAAAAAATCGTTTTTAAAAAAAATAAATAAAGTGGATTTTTTATTTAAATCACATTTTTTATTTTTTAAAATACTTAAAAAAATAAACTCATAAAGATGGTTTTAATTTAAGATATGTTACAGCTCAAATATATCATCATGGAATAGCAATTATAACTTCTAATTATATACTATTTAAGACAAGATATTCATGTAACATATTTAGAAGTTTTATAAGTAGATCACCATAGGCCATGGACTATATTAGGGGCTCAATTTTACAGGGTTCCCAGAGTCTCCCCTACAGATTAATAAAGATTAAAGAAAACCAGTCTACCCAATGAGACTCAGTGCTCAGTCTAGAAGATCCCATTAACCAATCTGTGATGCTTAGTTTCAGTGGTCAAACTGTGGAGTTGTGTCTCCAGAGACAGCAGTATATGGAGTATTTATATAGCAGTATATGGAGATAAGAGACAGCAGACCTGATTACCTACCTCCATCAGCTCTATTGTCTCTCTGCAAGAGTGTGTACACAGAGCCATGACCTAACCTCTCTCTAGAAGAGCAAAGTTTCAAGAAGTTAAGTGAATAAGGATTGTTGGAGGTAGAGTAGATCTGGGCAAGGAGGAGTCTGGAAATAAATGCAAGGAGGGAGGGGCAGTAGAAACAAAAGAGAAACATTTTGAGCAGAATATTCCAGAAGTACTGAGGGATTAAGTTTCTGAGTATAGCTTCTCCATTGATTTGAGATCTAGCTGAGGAAATGGTATGGTAAAAGGGATATTTTAATGAAGTTCCTCTACCTGTGGGTAAGACAGGCACGCATGCAAAATGCAAACAGTGCAACAAAGAAATGCAAGGCCTGGTTGCCTGAATGAAATGACATCATGAGAAGCGCTCCTTCTCAGGAGGAAGCTGCTTTGAATATGATGAATGGAACAATGATTAGATCAAGACTTCCTGACCAGTGATTTAAATCAAATCCGCCCTGCTAAGAGGTAAGCTAGGTTGTGAATTTACCCCAAGTAGCTACAATGCCGTAACTGTCCTGCTGCAAACAAACACTGACCTCATGAAAAATGCAAACCCAATTTCTTCTTTGCACATACAATGATCTAATTTTCCAGTTACTAAATACTAATGACTGAATACCTCAATTTTTTGGTGCTTGAATAGAGATATCTTAGAGAGAGATAATTTTCAGAAAATGCTAAGTGCTCACTCTCTGAATGTTAGGCCACTTATAAAAAAAATACATAAGAGGGATACACCAAAAAAGAGGCGCTTAATCTTTCATCATTTCTGAAAACGTTGGCCAAAATGTAGAATGATTTGGTACTGCTAAAGTGGCTGCTATAGCAAAGTGTTTCCAGAATGTATCTAAATTAAAACTTCACGATAACTAGATGCAGCAAGCAGATACCCTCTGTTCCACATAAAGAAGCAAGCACAAAAAAGGGGAAGTGATTTTAGCAATAACTGCAAAAGTATGTGGTAAAACCAGAAACAGTACTCAACTTTCCCAAATTCCAATCTTCCACTGGAGTCAGTCATCTGCTCTTTTACTTACCCTGACTGTTACAAGTCCATGGATAGGAAATACATAGACAGGTTTTACTGGTCTCCAAAGCAGTGTGAGATTTACATCTGGGCTTTAGAGAATGTGATATGCCAGGAAGCAGAACAGACTAAAATGTGTTTTGTTTGTAAGTTTTAATGATTTGTGTAAAACATTAAGTTAACTTTATACACTCAAACGAAATGCAATGCGTCTCTACACTAATCAGTGATCATCACACAGCCAGCACTTATCTGCAATTAATTCTGTATCAGGGACCACATTAGCAAGAAGGTAATCAACTGACTGCTGCAGTAGATAATACCAACGATAGGAGTTTTGCTTCTCTTTTCAACAGGAACATTGTTGGAAGCAGCTGGAGGGGCTTGGGACCATAGAGATGTATTTATAAATACAAAAGGTTTATGAAATCAACGATCCACCTACTAGTCTTTCCCATTACAGAAAGGGCACATTAGCTAAGGCTGCAGACAGGTGTCACCTTTGTGAGGCCATAAAAATGTTTATGGCAGAACAAAGTGAAAGCAAGCAGACATCCACGCCTTTTGTCATGCCACAAATGCCCAAATTTGTGGCATCAAAAAAAGGTAGTACAGTATTAATTTGTGCTGATATTCCCTGGTGGACATCTGTTTTAAGGCAAGAGTGGAAACAGCTTGGGCTTGCCCCTGCTCTCCCGATGCCCTAGGCAGGCGCTCCTGGGACTTCACAGGCCCAATCCTGCATGGCCCAGGAATTCCCTTGCACGGAGCAGCAGGGACTCAACCCAATGAAGTGGATCAGTTGTGCCAGGATGTGTCCCAGGACAGCTGATCCACTTCATTTAGCAATGTCTGTTGTAGACTACCAGGTGCTAAAATAAAATGACAGCCCTAACGTTTTGAAGCAATCTGGAAACATTCATTATTAAGGCCCGATTATTATACTGTATCACAGAGTAGTAAACTTGCTACATGCCTGCACATCCTTTCTAATTACCACTGAGTTAATCCCCTAATAGGATTTTTGGAGGATTATTTTTTTTTAAGAGCTAAAAACATAGATCTCATTTACACTCAGGTTCTAGAAGTAGAGAGGATGGTACATTTGGGTCCAATACATTTTTTGATTTCCTCATTAGTTTTAATATGCCTTAAATTTTAATTATGTGAATATGACCATGGCAAGATTACCATTTTCAAAGAACTTGGTTTCCTTTTTGGATGAGGATGCTCATATATCTTTCAAAATGAACTCTTAGCATCAGAGGGACTGGGATATTTCAAGTATTTCAGGATTTTTTTTTTAAAGTTTCTCCTCCTTAACAGCAAGTTGTTAAATTACATCATTGACCATTTTGACAGTGAATCGGTGGCAAGGGGCAGCAGGATCACACAAAGGGCAGCCCTCTTGGCCAATCAGTTGTGGGGCATGGTGGGAGTTCACAATGATAAGCTCATGAAAATGGCAGTAGGCACTGCAATCAGCCTGTGAAATTGCTCATCTGCCGCCTTGATTTGGGTAGGTCCCTAGGTATAACTGTTCAGAAACTGATTTAAACCTGTTAACAGAACAGAAGTTCAGCATACATAGACAGATCTGGATGGATGTAGTATTGGACTTAATTGGTTTAGGTTAGAGTGGTATATCAAACTTCTTTTCCAGATCCTGTAATAAATCACCTTAGTTCACTGTCCCCTGGCATCCCAGGCACCCCTTGCAGACAGCGGTCTAGCCTTGCCTGGTGCTTATCTGCTCCGGATGAGCATTGGGCCAGCCCTGCCCCTAGACTGTTACAGAAAGGAGTCACAAAAGCCTCTCTCTCCTGCCTTCAGAGCTGGCTGGCTGGGGCTGGGGAGAGGATGAAGAGAGTGTGGGAACACAGCCCCCTACCATGAGGCCCCAGCCCCAAGCCAGTACATAGTTTCATAGTTTCTAGGGTCGGAAGGGACCTGAGTAGATCATCTAGTCCAACCCCCTGCCATGGCAGGAAAGAGTACTGGGGTCAAATGACCCCAGCACGGTGTTCATCTAACCTCCTCTTAAAAACCCCCAGGGTAGGAGCCTGCACCACTTCTCTTGGAAGTTGGTTCCAGACCCTACCCACCCTGACCGGGAAGTAGCGCCTCCTGAT